CATGCACATATCTTACACTCTGTATTACCTACAACCATTACTTCCTGTTAGCTCTTTCATCTTGAGGGAAGATGTAGCTTAACCCAAAAGTAGGTCACCATGGCCTCATTTGGGAATGTTTTGGCTATGCATGGTCAAATTGTGTCATGGTCATATCTTGTGCACTATGGTCCTAGGAGCATCCAGCCTTGTCAGTTCATGCATCTTCAGCAAAGGTGTTGTAACCCCAAAATAGGTCACCATGGTTCATTTGAGAAATTTTCAAAATACTTGTCATAAGTTGATGTTTTCTTTCACACTTGTCAGTTGATATTGTTTTGGGTAAAGATGTAACCCAATAGTAGGTCACCATAGCCACATTTTTTGGCAATTATCATGGTTATGTCTTTATCATAACTTGTGCATTTTGATGCCTAGGACTATTTTACCTTGTAAGTTAATGCACCTTTGGACAAGGTGTTTTACAACCTTAAATAGGTCACTGTGGCCTCATTTTTGAATTTTATGGCAATGTATAGTTGCATGCTTGATCATGCATATATCTTGTTCACTGAGGCCAAGGGCCTTCAGAGTTTACCTTGGGAGTTGATGCATATATATATCTTACTGAAAGGTTGTCATGGCCAAAAATTAGGTACCATGGTCATGTTTTGGGATTTAGAGCTAGATTTATAAATATACCTGACCCATCTATCATGTATTCTAACAGTGCAGTTATTTACATAAATAACAATGTATTTGTGTATGCATTTGCTGACATATTAAAATTTAAAGATCTGTATTTTTTTTTTCAGAATGCCAAGAAAAGGCCCAGCTTATAGTGTTACCTTTTCCATCCAAAAGTCTGTCTTTCCATTGTAACTCCAACATTTTTTTCTTTCCTAATGTCCTGCATTGAATTTGGAACTAATTTCATAGACTGTATGTTTTGTTTTTCAGGTCAAAGACAGTAACTGCATTTTCTCATTGAAATAGCAAGTAATTTGCATAGATTGTGTTTTGTTTTCAGGTTAAAGAAATTACTAACTGTATATTTTCTATTTAAAATTGGAACTAATATTTGAATAGATTTTGTGTTGTTTTTCAGGTTAAAGACCATAACTGTATTTTCTCATTGAAATTGGAAATAATTTGCAAATATTGTGTGTTTTGTTTTTCAGGTTCAGGACAAGAACTATTAATTTTCTCATTGAAATTGGAACTATTAATTTGCCTAGATTGTGTGTTTTGTTTTTCAGATTAAAGAGGGTATAACTATTATTTTCTCATTGAAATTGGAACTAATTTGCATAAATTGTGTTTTGTTTTTCAGGTTCAGGACAGTAACTATTAATTTTCTCATTGAAATTGGTACTAATTTGCCTAGATTGTGTGTTTTGTTTTTCAGATTGTAGAGCATATAACTAATTTTTTTCTCATTGAAATTGGAACTTTTTTTCAGGTTTAAGACAGTAACTGTATTTTCTCATTAAAAATGGAACTACTTTGAATAAATTGTGTGTTTTGTTTTTCAGGTTCAAAACAGTAATTAATAAGTGTATTTTTCATTGAAATTGGAACTAATTTAAATACATTGTTTTGTTTTGTTGTTTTTTTTTTCAGGTTAAAGACATGTAGTAACTGTATTTTTTCATTTGAAATTGGAACTAACTTGCATAGATTTTCTCAGTTCTGTTTTTCAGGTTTAAAGAAGTAATTGTATCAGTTTTTTGTCATTATTGAAGTTGGAACTAATTTGAATTAATTGTGTGTTATGTTTTTCATGTTTAAGAAGTATAATTACTAACTGTATGTATTTTCTCATTGAAAGTGGAAATAATTTGCACAGATTTTGTGTTTTGTTTTTCAGGTTACAGACAGTAACTATTGTCTTATTGAACTTGGAACTACTTTGAATAAATAGTGGATTTTTTTTTTTGGTTTTGTTTTGTTTTTTCAGGTTCAAGAAGTTACTAATTGTATGTATTTCTCATTGAAATTGGAACTAATAGATTGTGCCTTTTGTTTTTCAGGTGAAAGACAATATATATATCCATTTTCTTGCATTAAAATTGAAACTTATTGGAATAGATCATGTGTTTGTTTGTTTGGTTTTTTTTTTTCAGGTTATAAACAGTAACTGTATTTTCTCATTGAAATTGGAACTAATCTGCATATATTGTTTTTTGTTTTCAGTTTAAAGACAGTAACTAATGTATTTTTTTTTATTGAAGATACAACTTATTTGTAGATGATTGTCTGTCTGTCTGACTGTTTGCTTCAGGTCCCATTAATACAATTTGCAGATATTAAAGCAAACCTATAAATGCGTTGTTTATACTGCAGATATTGCAGCAAACCTATAAATGCTTTTTTTATATAATGCACACTTCAGAAGCTGCATATTGAGAGGTATACCTTTCAGGCTTATCATTGACTATTGTTTAGGATTAAACTGTCTTTAGTTTCATCTGACAAAAAGATTGAGAATTAAAAATTATTTTGATAACCAAACTTGACCTGGTATATTTTAATGATTATTATGAATGTAAGAATTAGCATTGGGATGCACACATTGAATCAAAATTAACAATTAATGTAGTATTGTACACGACATTTCTGTGATATATATGGGATTATTGGAATTTATTGTAGTATTGTACACATGACATTTCTGTGATATATCTGGGATTATGGGAATTTATTGTAGTATTGTACACATGACATTTCTGTGATATATCTGGGATTATGGGAATTTATTGTAGCATTGTACACTTGGCATTTCTATGATATATCTGGGATTATGGGAATTTATTGTAGTATTGTACACATGACATTTCTGTGATATATCTGGGATTATGGGAATTTATTGTAGCATTGTACACTTGGCATTTCTATGATATATCTGGGATTATGGGAATTTATTGTAGTATTGTACACATGACATTTCTATGATATATCTGGGATTATGGGAATTTATTGTAGTATTGTACACATGACATTTCTATGATATAACTAGGATTATGGGAATTTATTGTAGTATTGTACACATGGCATTTCTATGATATATCATGGGATTATGGGAATTTATTGTAGTGTTTTATACATGACATTTCTGTGATATATCTGGGATTATAGGAATTTATTGTAGTATTGTACACATGACATTTCTGTGATATATCTGGGATTATAGGAATTTATTGTAGCATTGTACACATGACATTTCTGTGATATATCTGGGATTATAGGAATTTATTGTAGTATTGTACACATGACATTTCTGTGATATATCTGGGATTATAGGAATTTATTGTAGTGTTTTATACATGACATTTCTGTGATATATCTGGGATTATAGGAATTTATTGTAGTGTTTTATACATGACATTTCTGTGATATATCTGGGATTATAGGAATTTATTGTAGTGTTTTATACATGACATTTCTGTGATATATCTGGGATTATAGGAATTTATTGTAGTATTATACATATGGAATTTTCTATGATACATCTGGGATTATGGGAATTTATTGTAGTACATGTATTTTACACATGACATTTCTTTGATATATCTTGGATTATGTGAATTTATTGAACAGTAGTATTGTACACATGACAATTCTATGATATATCTGGGGTTATGGGAATTTATTGTAGTATTGTACACATGGCATTTATTGTAGTATTGTACACATAACAATATTCTATGATATATCTGGGGTTATGGGAATTTATTGTAGTATTGTACACATGACAATATTCTATGATATATCTGGGGTTATGGGAATTTATTGTAGTATTGTACACATGACAATATTCTATGATATATCTGGGGTTATGGGAATTTATTGTAGTATTGTACACATGACAATATTCTATGATACATCTTGAGTATGGGAATTTGATGTAGTATTGTACACATGGAATTTGTTGTAGTATTGTACACATGACAATATTCTATGATATATCTTGGGTTATTGGAATTTATTTTAGTATTGTACACATGACAATATTCTATGATATATCTGGGGTTATGGGAATTTATTGTAGTATTGTACACATGACAATATTCTATGATACATCTTGGGTAATGGGAATTTGATGTAGTATTGTACACATGACATTTTCTATGATATATCTGGGGTTATGGGAATTTATTGTAGTATTGTACAGATGACATTTTCTATGATATATCTGGGGTTATTGGAATTTATTGTAATATCAGACCTGGCAACCCTTCCACTTTTGGCATAATTCTTCTGCTTTCTAAAACTAAAATAAGTTGTTATGCCATGACAATCAATTTTATGCATTTAAAATTTTTATGCTGAAAAAATGCATTATTTAATATTTTTTGGTTGGTCAGTTATGATTATTGCTTCCTTTGTATCATACTTTAACAGTACCATAAGCTCAAGAAGTATTTAACACAATTTATTGAATATCTTCTCGCTCAATTTAATGCTAGTAGGTTGTAATGGTTGTAATTAAATGTAAACTGTAATTTGCAATGACTTAATGAATGTTAGAATGTCGTCGTTTTACAACAAATGAAGTTAATGTTAATAATGAATGATTTAAAATGTTTTTACTCTCTTTATTTTATGATATATAGCAGGCAGAATTGTTTAGATGAGATAGAAATGCGATGAGATGACAAAATTGTAAAATTTGAAGAATTATGCTTTTGCCTCTGAAATTCCACCAAAATTAAGCTTTAGACTTCATTTCTGCAATGAAAAGGGTAGGCAGGTCTGTTGTGTTGTACACGACATTTTCTGTAATATCATCTGGGGTTATGGGAATTTATTGTTACAGTAGTATTGTACACATGACAATATTCTATGATATATCTGGGGTTATGGGAATTTATTGTAGTATTGTACACATGACAATATTCTATGATATATCTGGGGTTATGGGAATTTATTGTAGTATTGTACACATGACAGTATTCTATGATATATCTGGGGTAATGGGAATTTATTGTAGTATTGTACACATGACAATATTCTATGATATATCTGGGGTTATGGGAATTTATTGTAGTATTGTACACATGACAATATTCTATGATATATCTGGGGTTATGGGAATTTATTGTAGTATTGTACACATGACAATGTTCTATGATATATCTGGGGTAATGGGAATTTATTGTAGTATTGTACACATGACAATATTCTATGATATATCTGGGGTTATGGGAATTTATTTTAGTATTGTACATGTGATGTTTTCTATGATATATCTGGTGTTATGGGACTTTATTAGATTGTACATAAGTTATTATCTGTAATTTATCTTGGGGTTTTGGAATTTATTGTAGTATTGTACACATGACTGTCCCATCTATGGTTTATTTGAAGTAATTGGAATTTCTTGTAGAATTGCCACATGACAATTTCTTTGGGATTATGGAAATTTATTGTAGCATTGTATTTATGACATTTTCTCTGATTGATCTGAAGTTATAGGAATTTGGCATGATATTGTACAAACATTTTCTGAGAATTATATGGGGTGTGTAATGAAAATGCCATGGAGTGGAGAAATTCTAGATGCTCTTGAAAGTTAATTGTTGACCATGGAACTGTAAATGCTGACCTCTGTCTAAGCAAGGAAACTGTTAAGGTCACAATGAGTCTGGAATTGTGTGGATATACATGTTCAGTTCACTTTTTATCTGAGACCCAACAGAATACTGTACAAGAAGAGGCAAAGGAAATGGACTGAAGATGTGAAGGCGCTGAAGACGAGTAGCGATACCAGTTTTTGTATAAATACAGAAGCCAGTGCAGGTATGTTATTTACAAATTTGTTAATTAAGAAAGCTCTGAATACTTCTTACTGAAGAGTTTTGATTCTAAGGAAGTTATGCAGTTGGAATGATCTGCCCTGTTTTGTAAAATGGAATAAACAGAAACAATTTTCAGTAAATGACACAATATAAAAATGACTACTTGTATCCATAATATATTGGACCAAGATAAAGATCTTTTTTTTAAAAAAAAACGTGTATATTTCCTTAATAAATTAGTTAACATCAGTGATTTTTGTTCCATACTACTTTTTGGATATTTTACCTGGAGAAATACGGCAAGCACCTTTTGTCAAAGCTGAAGAAGATAAAAATCTACATTTTTATAATTGTATGATATAATTATTGATTTTCTTAATAGTGATCAGAAAACATTTTCATACATGTTTATAAGAGCTTTCTTAAAAAGATCTATTTAACCATGATTTTGTGGGAATAAATGATGTACGTATTAATATCCTGTTGTACAATGTAATTAAATTATGCCAGAAGAATGACAAGTAGATGTCTCTTACAGCCAAGATCGACACTGATGGTAATCCCCATCTAATGAACATCCTGCTAACTTGACCTTAGATTTACCACCATTCATACCAGAAGTTTGAAATCAATGGAGAGGAGAGTGGCTATGGAGAAATATGCTGAGGAAAACATGAAGAAAGAAAACATGACGGCCTTAGTGAAAGAAATGATATTGTAAGCAAAATTATGATTTATAGAAAATACCTCTTACAAGGTAATTAATTTAAATGTAGTCTGTAGATCAAAAATATTCTGTGAACCCTATTTTAGCAAGATGATTTTTTGATGCATGTATTCTTGCAAAGTGAAATTTTAACAAAATTAGTTAATGATTTACAAATTGATCCTTTCTGAATTAAATATATATATGAGAGTGAAATATTTACTTACAGAATTCTTTCATAAGTACACAAAAATAAAGTTCTTGAAAAAAAGGTGATTTACAGTATAGATGTAAATACTGTAACCCAACTATTATTCGTGTTATCTTTTATTCGTGACTCGTTAGTTTGAAATCAATCCACGACGATTAATTTTTGCAAATGAGGAATTATTCTATACAAATACAAAGCAAAATAAATGGTTCGTGGTGATTAATATTCACGAGTTAAAGTAGGTTGTGAAATTTGCAAATATTTCTTGCACGCGAATAATAGTTGGTTTACAGTAATTAACATACAGTACATTTATAATTATAAGACAAATTTTTTTTATTTTAGGGCTATTTCACAGAAGAGGGAAGAATTCAAGAAGTTTTTCGGGATTTAGAGTTAGCTAAAATTTAAGATGGATTTTTTGGTAAATTTAAAATTTAACTTTTTATCATATTAAAAAATTATTTAAAGATGAAGGAGCAGCATTTATCAGTAATGCTAACTTCTGTTATGTTTCTCTTCAGAGATGTGACAATTATAGACTGGTAGAATTTATCTGCTGTGAAATTGACCAGGATGTATTTGACTGCCTTGATCAACTGTCCATATAATCATTATGGTAAATATAAAAATTCAATTTTAGCCATCTGAACACTTGCCAAATAATGCCAAATTTTAATCCTAGCTAAAATTTCTGCTTTTGCATGTAGTAATGCGTATTCATGAATGCTTAATATTCACGAGAATATAATTATTTTAATATTTAATTAGTTCTGGAGGGTCCAAACTCGAACCTAACATTCTTGAGGTACTACAAGCCTTAGGAGAGAAGCCATTTGCCAAAAAATGTCCAAAATACATTTGAAGTGATGATCATCATCAACGGTAATTTTTTTATGTTAAAGATTACTACGTACTGTATTGTTAAAAAATGCGTAGAACGCAGGTATGGATTCCGGCAGAGGTGCTTCATACACTTGCCCCCTCTAAAACAAAAAATAAGAGATAATTTTCATTGTCTTACATTGATGTAAGACAGTCATTTATGATATTGGTATAAAGTCATATATGTGCTAAAATAAGATTCTACAAATTGTGAACTATCAGGAGCTTGGGGGGGGGGCTTTTCCCCAAACCTCCAACTGGACCCTGCCTGTCTGGGACATCAGCAGAACCAATGCCCCTTGCCATTTTAAAGCACCTTCTCTGGGAAAGCAAAATCCTGGATCCACACCTGAAATGCACTTGTGTGAAAGATTTTCTAATTTAAATTTTGATATAGTTCTGGAAAGCTAGACTTTACTCATGATGTCTGTCATTACAGAGTTTGAGCTATGTTTTATTAATTTTTTTCTTTCGCTAACAAACAGTCTAACTTTTATTATTGTAGGATAATAAAGTTCTTGTGAATAAAAAGGGATTAATAGTTCTAGTCTTGAAAAATTTACTTCTTCTATTCAATTAAAGTTATTGAAATAAAGTCAGTTAATAATCAACATGAATTATTATTACATTTACACATTTAAATGATTCTCTTCTAGAAGGTTTATTCCAGAATAGGCATAGATCAATGAATAATATTGAAAATAACCTTTAAATCATTTTAAAATTTTTTTAACGTATTTGGTTCTTTTATTATTTCAGGCTTTGGGTGAAGGTTGTCTGTAATTGCCAAGTCAACATTTACCAAGCCAATATCTGGTGCCTCTCGCAAGCTGAAGAATATATAGAAAAACCAACATTCATCACATTTGATCTTGCAGCTACCAGACTTGGTAAGTTGTTCAACTAAGATCCTAGTTTTGGCAAAAGTGGTTGTTTCTATCATTATCTATCATTAACTTTGTCTAAAAACTTGTATGTTAAATATCACAGTATTATTATTATCTGCATTAATACCCTTAATACTTGTACTTTATATATCATGGTAAAAAAATATAATTTAATATTGTATTTCTATAGTGTTGGACAAGGAGCCTTGCCCTGTATTACTCAAACTGGAGCGGTGGAGGTAGAGTCCGGGGATATTTTCACTATCTGTGTTCTTCCCAGAATTCCTATATGGCCTGGAGGTAGACTCCGGAGATATTAAAATTTCACTGTCGTGTTCTTCCAAGAATTCCCTTAGAGTCTGGAGCAGAGCAAACCACCAGAATAGTCTGCAATGGAACCTTAGTTTTTGCTCATGGATAATTTTGACAACTTTATTGTATTATAATTGTACAGACAGCATTTTCTAGGGTTAAGGAAATTCAGTGTAGCATTGTACTGACATTTTTATGAATTATCTTCGGTTACGAAAATTTAATTTTGTATTGTTTACTTGATATTTTCTAGGATTTATCTGGAGATATAGAAATTAATGCATTATTGTATATACTTTATATGATTTATTTGGGCTATTTTAATTATTCAACCGTATAACTCTCTCTGTGGTAAGTTATGTGTAAGTTATTTTCTTTGAATTGTCTTGAATTAATATGAATTTTATACAGTATTGTATACTTTATTATTTCTATAATATACCTAGGGTCATTGGGATTATGGGAATTTATTGTAGTATTGTATACTTTATATGATATTTCGGGGTTATTTGGGATGATGGGAATTTATTGCAGTATTGTATACCTAATAGTTTTTATGATGTATGTGGAATTAAGTGGGATTATAGGGATTTCATGAAGCATTGTATTCTTTATAGTTTTTATGATATATTGGGGGTTAATGGGGTTAGGGAATTTCATGTTGTATACTTTAAAGTTTCTATGATTTATTCAGGGTTAATGAGGTTAGGGAATTTCATGTAGTATTGTGTACTTTATAGTTTCTTAGATATATCGGGGGTTATTGGGGGTATTAGAATTTCATGTTGTTTTGTACTTGTATTTATGGTTTCTATGATTTATTTGGGGTTGAGGGGGTTAGGGAATTTCTTGTAGTATTGTGTACTTTATAGTTTCTTTAATATATCTGGGGTAATTAGGGTTATGAGAATTTCATGTAGTATTGTATACTTTATAGTTTCTTTGATTTATTTGGGGTTAATGGGGTTAGGGAATTTCACGTAGTATTGTGTACTTTATAGTTTCTTTAATATATTTTGGGTAATTAGGGTTATGAGAATTTCATGTAGTATTGTATACTTTATAGTTTCTAGGATTTATTTGGGGTTAATGGGGTTAGGGAATTTCATGTAGTATTGTGTACTTTATAGTTTCTGTAATATATCTGGGGTAATAAGGGTTAAGAGAATTTCATGTAGTATTGTATACTTTATATTTTTTATGATTTATTCGGGGTTAATGGGGTTAGGGAATTTCATGTAGTATTGTGTACTTTATAGTTTCTATGATTTATTCGGGGTTAATGGGGTTAGGGAATTTCATGTAGTATTGTGTACTTTATAGTTTCTAGGATTTATTCGGGGTTAATGGGGTCAGGGAATTTCATGTAGTATTGTGAACTTTATAGTTTCTGTAATATATTGGGGGTAATTAGGGTTATGAGAATTTCATGTAGTATTGTATACTTTATATTTTTTATGATTTATTCGGGGTTAATGGGGTTATGAATTTCAAGTAGTATTGTATACTTTATATTTTTTTTGATTTATTTGGAGTTAATGGGGTTAGGGAATTTCATGTAGTATTGTGTACTTTATAGTTTCTTTGATTTATTCGGGGTTAATGGGGTTAAGGAATTTCATGTAGTATTGTGTACTTTATAGTTTCTATGATTTATATTATCTTGGGTTATAGGGATTTGTGTTGGTTTTTTAATGCAGTATTGTATACTTTATAGTTTTAGAATAATAGAGTATTGAATACTTGTCTTTTTTTCACAAATTTTGTCTTTTTTAATGAGTTATCTAGCATTCTTGGAACTAATTATTGTAGTATTGTCCATTATTATTAGTATTTTGTCATTAATTTTTTTTGATTTTTGGAATTTAATGTATTGTTTTGTATACATTACACGTCTAGGGTTTATCTGGGGTTATGGGAATTTAAAGTTAAGTATTTTACACATCACATTAAACTATGGGATTTTGTTGTAGCATCATACACATGGCATTTCTATAATATATCTAGGTTATAAAGATTTATTGTAGGATTACACACATATAACATTTTCTCTGATTTATGGGGCGGGGGTTATAGATTTATTGTTGTACTGTACACGTGACAATTTCCATAATTGATCTTGGGCTATAATTATAAGGTTATGAGAATTAATGGTCATATTACACACATTACATTTTCTCTGATTTATCTCGGGTTATGGGGTTTAGTTATAGTTTTGAACACGGGATATTTATTGATTTAGGGTTTTGGGAATTTAATAAATTATTTTAAACATGACATTTTCTATGAATTAATTATGGGGTAATGGAATTTAAATGTAATATTATACATATGGTTATAAGAATTCAATGTTGTACATGTCATGACATTTTCTATGATTGACCTTGGGATATGTAAATTTTTTGTTGTATTGTATACTTAATTTTATAAAGTATCTGTGCTTTTGTAAATTTAATTTTGTATTGTTAACTTGAATTTTTTTATGATTTTGTCTGGGGTTACACAGGAATTTATTGAAGTTATAACTGCACACTTCATATTATCTGTGATTTATCTAGGGTTTTGGAAATTCAATATAGTACACAATTTTCTATGATTTCTGTGGGATTATGGGAATTTAATTTTTATTGTACACTTATCAATTACTATGAATTATCTAGGGCTATGGGAATCAAGCGTAGCATTGTACACATTACATTTTCTCGGATTTATAGCTGGGGTTATTAGAATTTATCGTGGTATGACACACTTAACATTTTCTATTATATACATGTATATGGGGTTATAGGAATTTAATATAGTATATTGTATACTTGAAATTTTCTCTGATTTATCTGGGGTCATGGGAATCTATTGTAGTATTATACAATTGACATTTTCTATGAATTATCATTGGTTAAGGGAATTCAATTAGGTATTGTGTTCAGGTACTTGAAATTTTCTATTATATTTCTAGGGTTGTGGGAAATTATCTTACATTATCATAATTTACTGTAGTAATGTATACTTTATATTATTTTCTATGATTTATCTGGGGTTATGTGAATTTACGGTGGGTAATGGGAATTTAATGTAGTTATTTGTTTATATTTATCTGGGGGTTGGCATATTCATTTTTTAGATCATAATCTTTGTTTTTTTTAAGGTATCTCATTTTCAATTCAAGTTTGTTGAATAATGTGTCTTCCATTCTTTTGTTTGTCTTGTCTATTTTTTTTTTTTGGGGGGAGGGGGGGGGGGGGAACAAGGGAAGCATAGGAATAGGAAAATAATGTGGATTTTGCTTAACATTGTATATTGTAATAAAAGATGTTGCTTTGTTTTCATGTGGTTGATTAACATTTACATACATCTACACATAGAAACAATAATGAACTTTGCAGGCATACATTAATGTCTATATAATGTTTGATCTTTTTCAGTGTCACACATATGCGTCATTACGTAGGTAAAAGTAATAGTGATTGACCAACTTGTTTTAGGTGTGCATTATTGAAGAGAATTAAGTTTTCTTCAGAGATTAGAACTGGTTTGTAAATCAAATTTGCAGAGAATCAAAGTATAATAAGACAAATATGTCTTGGGAATGTGTTTGATGAGTTTGTTAAGTAAGCTTGGTTACAATGATGATGTCTTTCCAGAACTGAACATGCAAAACATTTTACAATGCATCTATGGATGTTTATACTGATGCTTGCAATGGATTCTGAATAAGCCCTACATGTGCTTTAGACACTCATGCGGTGCAGTGTGATAGAGCTGCCTTTCTATGATGTTCTTTAAGTTGTATCGAACCCATGTTTGCACATATTGTATGCCTACACATGAATGCTTTGCCCTAATGCAGCTTTGTATGCTGCATCTGACCTATATTTTATGACACAATCTACACTGTTTCATAAATTACTTGCTTTTGTTGCAAGTCAATGAGAACCAGTTTAGCTCATCAGGTACATCCACCTTAAGCTTTTTTTTTTCAGATAAATCAGGATTTTGTGCATGTTAACCTTATTTTGTTACATGTAACTTGATACTTTTATATGCTTTATTATGTATTTATTGGTTTTTTTATGTAAATAAATGTGTATTTATTTGTTAGTTGTGTAATTTTTTAAATGCATTTCTAATGTCATATGAAATGATCTAGGTAAATGTTCATGTAGAGCTGCCTGCATGGTGCAGTGGTTAGATCTCAAGCCTTTGCTCTAGAGTTGTGGAGTAAAGTGTTGAACCTTAAGTCACAGGTTCGAATCCCACTGTGGGATATGGAGACTGGTACTTCGGATAAGATCATATCAATTGAGGTCCCGTGTCACAGTAGGTGTTGGCAAGAAAGATCCCTCACTGCTCAATGGCCCTGAGTGCCAGGTATAGGTCTAAAATTTACAGCCCTCCATCAGCAAGTTCTGATGTCTTAATAGGAGTGAAAAATTCTCAAAAGGGGCATTGAACAAAGAAAAGTATAAAGCTGAACTTCGGTATCTGGAATAATACCATGGGTATTTTATGAAAATGTAAAAAGAAAAAAAAAGTTGTTTATCCCAGATTTGAAAGAAAAGTAGTAAGCTGGATGTCCTGAGTTCCGATACATTTTGTCTGAAATTTAGGTCTCAAGATCAGATCAGAAAAACTCAATATTCCAGGTTAGATTTAAATAAAAAGTTAAATGTTCAAATATGTTGAAAAAAAAAAGTTATTTTGAAATGAAACAAAATAATGAGGAAGAATGAGGCGGGGACCCCTTTTGAAGCTATTATTCCTCAATTCCTTGATTATCAAAGTTTATTTTCTCGGAAAGTACATGTTTAAATTGTCAGTACCCATGTAATGTCATCTTTCGTATGTAACGGGGAAATCCTGGCATAAAACAACACAGAGAAGAATGTCCAGTTTTCAATAAATTGATCATCATTTCAATATTTATATATGATATAACAACTGCCTCTGAAATTAATATAAAACACACAATAATACTAGAATGGTGCAATAAATATATAATAATAGATATACATAAGAATCATTATACACATTGTGTCATAAATATTTCACTATATGGAATTTACTAATGCTTTACACGTATAAAGGGAGGTAGCTCTTATAACCTTAATTGAAATATTTTTCACCATCGTGAAGAGTTATCTTTCTTATTTAGCAAAATAATGAAATTATGGAACCAAGTCTACCTTACAACTGTAGGTCTTAAAATACGAAAATAAGCTATAATAATAAGAAGATTAATAAATTCCTAAAGATATGCTCTTTACAATTCCTCTGTATATGCCTCTGTCTTTGTCCAGGAATTTGCCAGAATTATGTAAACTGATGAAATTATAGAATACCTTTCTACAACTTTCTGCATGTCTTAAAACATCCAAACTGAATAATGTTTACTCTGAGTGTAATACATCTACTACCCCTTTTTTCTAAACACTTTTCTCAATAATAACAAAAAGTGCATGCATACTGGTATTATCTTCAAACAAAATTGTAGGAAAGATAACTCTTGCATGCACATTTCCGAATATAATAAAGATAATAGTTAACTCCCTTTCTACACAAGAATCAAAATTAATTATAAATAATGTAAATATACAGATACAGTTTTCACTGCATAGTATCAGTATTATTATGAATTCAGAAAATATTTATGCTTACCACTCACGAGTTGTAAAATTGAAAAACTAATACTAGATTCTTATACTCACATCATGAAACTATTTTATCCATGGATAAAAAATAAATACAATATGATCAACCATTATAATAAAATTAAAAAGGTTTCAAGATATTTCTTTTATCATAGAAGCATATACATTTGTATTTATTTAAACCTCGTTATCTAAAAGTCGATGGGACCTAGAAAAATCTTCGAGATATCCGAGGAATTGAGATATCAAGGGTAAATACTGAAAGAATAATTAGTTGGGACTTCCAAATCAGTTCACATATCCATGGTATTCGAAATATCAGTGTTCAAGATATCGAAGTTCTACTGTAATTATATATGCATCTACAAATCAATTGACTGATGAAGAATATTCTCTACAAAACAATTCATTTTGACTGAAAGTACCTTTTTAACAATGACTACAGTAAGCCCGGAACTAAACATCACAATAGAAAAATTCCCTCCAAAATTATAATCACATGATTGGAAACCCTGTATACCTGACCATAATTAAGCATAGGTATCTCCTCCAAAAATTGCTACAGTGCTTAAAAGTTAAAAATATCCACATGACAATTCTTAGGTTAATCAACTGCATGAGTACTGTAAATATATTCATAAATCAATTCATGTGTTACAAATAATTAATAAATGAATTCATATCATAATAGTTTAATTGATTGAAATTATATATCAATTAAATTTTCATTCTGTCACAATTACATTTACATTATGTCTGGAGTTTTAATTTTCTGACCAAGTCTTTAAACTGTAAAATATGACAACATTTCTGTCCTAGGCATTCCAGGGTTGTAATTAGCTGTGCACTGTCATTTCCGTCCTAGGCATTCCAGGGTTGTAATTAGCTGTGCACTGTCATTTCTGTCCTAGGCATTCCAGGGTTGTAATTAGCTGTGCACTGTCACTTCTGTCCTAGGCATTCCAAGGTTGTAATTAGCTGTGCACTGTCATTTCTGTCCTAGGCATTCCAAGGTTGTATTTAGCTGTGCACTGTCACTTCTGTTCTAGGCATTCCAGGGTTGTAATGAGCTGTGCACTGTCATTTCTGTCCTAGGCATTCCAGTGTTGTAATGAGCTGTGCACTATGAGGAAGAATCATGAAGGAGCCAGACTCTGCAGGTCAGCAAGTGGAGGCTGGTTTCCTTTATGTGCTCTTTAGTTTGGTGGCTTGTCAATCTTGGAAGATGGAATTGGGAAATGAGAATAGGGTTGGAATTCTTTGCTGCCTACAGAGAGACACAAAAACAGTCTCCATGCAGTGTCTTTCCTCCTGTCACTGTGGTTTTGGCAGAAAGACCAGTTACTCTTTTCCTTGAACCTGTAGAATATACCTCTCAATATTTTCTATGCTCCAGCTAGGGCAAATTTCTTTTGTTTCGATCAGCAGAAATGTTCCCTTACCTGGATCTTTGGGAAACCAGGATGGGAAAACTGTCCTCCATCTTGCTATATTTTATAATAAATGAAGGTATATGTCCACATGAATGAAATATGTAGTACTCTAAAAATGCTGACTACAGGTCTTTCAGTTGCTGAACTTGTGCAGTGGACATTGTGGCCTTTAATTGTCTCTTATAGCAAGCACATATCATGTTCTTAGGGATGTTGTCTTGTTCCACTGAATCCTTGAAATAGAATTGTACAAATGCCAATCATAACGATTTACCTGAAGAAAGAACTATATGCGGTATATGCACATTTTTGCCCCAACAAAAGTCATATTTTGAATTTCTTGAAATGTGCTGAATTGAATATATTGTGTGAGAAATCTAAATTAACAAAAAATATTATAGTTTCGAAGTAGATTATTGGCAACTTTTCTTTCTATGATGTCACAAACTATTAGGATTTTGTGTTATTTTTCAGAAAAAGGAAAAAATTTGACAAAATTTGTTCAATTTTTATTATAAAATTTATAGAGCAGGCCTGCTCAAAAACAATATTTACATATTTCATTGATATTATCATTCTACACATTATATCAAAATATTGAGTTGGAGCAGACCTGCGCTCGGTGACTTTTGCTCAAAATATCAACGTAATATACACTTTTTTTGTATAAATCATGGAAATTATGAATTTACATCATCTTTCTGACATCATATCTAACATATGGCATCATGGCTTATGAAAATATTCAGTGCTTTGAAGTCTGCAGATATTTCCCTGTTTTAGAACATTATTATATATTTCTCCATCAAAGTTTGATTTTGGGGGCAAATATTGGTCATTACTGAATATAGTCCCTTTTGTTTCCAAATTAATTTGTCAAAATTTAAATGTTGAAGAAAGATAAGTCTAAACAATTTCAATTTTTCACTTCAGAAAAGCACACAAACAATATGTACACAATTCTATTAGAATACTTATACTTCATCCAAGCCTTATTCTTCGGGTGTTGACTTATGTCCGTAGTTTACAGCGAGTGGTATAAACAGCAGCTACAATGAGGAAGGAGAGTAATTACAGTCTAACCTCGTTATCTCAAACTCAACAGGACCGAGAAAAAAATTCGAGATATCCGAGGATTCAAGATATGGAGGGAAAAATACTTAAAGAATAAGTGGTTGGGACTTCCAAATTAGTTCAACATATCCATGGTATTTGAGATATCAGTGTTCGTGATACCTATGTTCTACTGTACATTACATTTCAAATACAACTGTTATCTTTAGAATAAGTTGATCAGTACATAGATTTAATGTACAGTTGAGCTTCGATATCTTGAAACACTGATATCTCAAATACCATGGAGTGGATATGTTGAAGTGATTTGGAAGTCCCAACCCTTATTCTTCTAAATATTTTACTGTTACCCCTGAAATCTCGAATCCTCAGATATCTTGAAGCTTTTCCTCAGTCCCATCAAGTTCAAGATAATGAGGTTTGACTGTATTTAAAGTGACTCAAAAGAATCAAAAGACTTCAATAAAACTACGTGAACTTTCTTCAAATTTCACAATTTTAAGAAATCAGTTTTAATTGTTTGTGTTTCTATGTACATTCACAGTACATGTACCCTCATTTGAAATGGCTATTTCTTTTTGATAAAGGTATTAGACATTGCATTCTGGAAGTAAAATACATTTTTTTCCACATTATATTTTCCTAAAATAAATAAGTGTAACAGGTTCAATTATAATGCATTAGAATACACCATGAGGGTTCACATTGATCTGTTTAAGACCAGTATATGGTAATCCAATAGCCCTGAAATTGATAATAAATATAGTTATAAACACATGTAACTCTGTAATACAAGTAATTACAAACTCCAAACTTAAAACACATGATCGAGAAACTTAATATTCAACATTATAACATTATTTACTTATATGATAAACATATATACAGTGCAACACTCTGAGTAAAGGGCAATAACTCTTAATTTCAGCTGAACAGATATATACATGTATAGGGCTTTAAAGGGGGAAAAAAACCTACAAAATTGCAGGAAAAATTGGTTTTTGGTTATAGTTTGGTAAATCAAAAAGATTCATCAAACATCTTTTACAATCAAAAGCTTCATTTACTAATATGTGTGGATGCTAAAAAAATCTGGTGTTAGAAAATTCCCCTTTTTGGGGAAATGAGAAGGGGGAAGGGTAGTTGGACATATTTTAAGTAGGGATGTCAAAATATTTATTTTCCATAGTCAAATATTCGATTCCATTATTCGAACGATAGTCAATTATTCGGAACATTTTCTGAAAATAAAATTTTATTTCAGACTTCACTGGTATACATGACGTATTTATAACTCAAAAACCCTTTTACTTAAATATGTTTAAAAAGTAACATAAGAATATATGCAACGTAACGTTTGATAGCATGATTATATGAAATAAATTTAAAAATCTAATTCTCCAAAATTTATGATTTCCCATCAATTGAATTCATAAAATGGTCTGCACATGCAAAGTGAGCATTCAAAAATTGCTAGCCGATATTTTTTAAAGCTTATTATGAAATAAATTTGGGGGGGGGGGGGGGGGGGGAGGTAATTTCACACTATCCAAACACCAGGTGGTTGTTAAATTGTTAAACATTTAGTAACTGCTTATTCATTAATTGATTGCTCTGGCTTTCAGAACGTCCTTAATTATAAATAGTTTAAAAATGCAAGCGAATTGTTTTAATAATTATCGAAGCATCAAAACATGTCACAGCTATGGTTTGTTCCTTGCATTTGAGCAATCTTAAAATAAAAGATAATTGGTACATCGTATAAAATCAAGTCCAATTAATTATTTTACAAACAAAGCCCAGTATATATATTGATGGTTGATTTATTACAAAAACAACACAAGCAGTAACTGATAGATAATTCTCGCGGTAGTGAAGCATTTATAATAACTGTACTTTCTATACACACACGGAAAATCAAGTTTTTTGTAGAGGAAAATTATCTTATCAACTATCTTCAAGGAAAGACGGTTTCTCAATTTTGTAATGAGAATTCTATATCGTTATCACTCTTTAATTGCATTTTTAAAATTATAATATTCGAATGTCGTTTCATTTTTCGATCGTCAGTCCTTTCGACTGACAGTCGAATAGTCGATTATTCGTTGACATCCCTTATTTTAAGGTAAGTTTCCAGAAAAATAAACTTGCTTGTTGTGAATTTGTTGTCAGATGGCATAAAATTCACAACAAGCGAGTTTATTGGTCTGTATAGACGACTAGAAAGGAGATGGATAAAATTTACAGATTGGTTATAGAATATGTCTAGAATTAAGGAATGAAAGGTCGCTGATTGACCAATGCTGGAGAGTGGCGAAATACATCCCCAAAGTGTGCAGAAAATCTTGTGCCGTAAATGCACCATATTTGCAATACCGGATTTGTAGCGCGTCATGGTAAAAGACTAACATATAAAACCATAATGCTACAGTTCTGTAGCTGATCACAATCTAATTATTTTTTGATTTTTGCCTGGATTTTTCTTTTCAGTAACGAGTAAGTGACACCGTTTTGTCTTCAGCTGGAATGACTTCAGAACACTTTCAATTACCTCCCATCTCTTCTCGTGTAAAGGTGAGATAACTGAGATGAGAATACGTACACGTGACAAAATGGTGATTGAACATTGACACATACAGGTGAGAAACTGTATATATGATGTACTATTTAATCTAACCACACCAAAGAAGATGCATATCAAACATTTGAAACAAGAAAATTCAAAGAATTGTGGTCCCCCACTTTCGGTATCTTAATGGATGGGATGCCATTATTTATGGCATATTGTAACTGTCTTGTTTGTTTGTCCTGTCTTGTCTGTGCATCATACAAAAAAATACATAAATTATTGAAATAATAAGAGTTATAACAAAGATTATAGCTTCTCAAAACTACATCAAACCTCAAGATGAAGGTCATGAGGACTCTGAGGTCAAATTTCATAATACAGTCCAAAAGATCTTGTCACAAGTAATGAACATGTGAAAAAAATATGAAAAACCAGGGGATCTTGAAATAGGTAATGCACATATCAAATTAAATACCGTATCTTCTCTAGATCAAAAGTTAAAATTAGCAGCAATGTTAAAATTTTTGAATATTGGGTCAAACTTCAAGGTCATGGGGCTAAAAATCATAGTACATTTGGAAATTGTTTTTCACAGGTAATGCACATGTTAAATATAAATGCCCTATCTTTGCTCCTTCAGAAGTTAGCAACACTGATAAAATGTTTGAAAATTAGGTCAAAAATGAAGCTCAAGGTTACAGTAGTCAAATACCATAGCACATTCTGAAAAATTTTGACACAGTTTATGCACTTGTCAAATATGAACACTCTATCACATGTCATTCAAAAGAAATCACCAAAGTTAACATTTTTGAAAATTAGGTCAAGCATGAAGGTCAAGGGGTCAAATAACATAGCATGCTTGGAATTGTCTTGTCACAGGTAATGCACATGCCAAATAGGAAAGCCCTATCTTTTCTCAATCAAAAGTTATAAGCAAAGATAAAATTTTTGTAAAGTAGGTTAAACTTCAAGGTCAATGAGTCAAAAACTCTTGTATACTTGGAAAGGTCTTGTCACAGGTAATGGAAATATGTATTATGAAAGCCCTATCTTTTCTCATTAAAATTTTATAGCCAATTTTAGGTAATGTTAAATTTCTTGAAAAGTAGGTCAAACTTCAAGTTTAAGGTCATGGGGTCAAAAAATCACTGTATATTTGGAAAGGTCTTGTCACAGGTAATGTACATATATAATATGAAGACCCTATCTTTTCTCATTCAAAAGTTATGACCAAGGTCAAAGTTTTCATGACAGACAGACTGATAGATGAATGAGATTTAATGTTCCCTTCCTTTGGCAAAACGCAGCTAGGTTAAGGCTGTCCGAAGGCTTAATATGCATTAAATATATACTATTTTATATTGAGCAATGTTTTGATTTCAATTTGTAATCTATGTATATATATATATACAGTTAAGTTGTAAAGAAAGTTGAATAAGGTATTATAAAAAAGCATTTTTGGGATGTCACATGACTGTGTTGATTATAAATTTTCTTAAATGTTGCACAAAAATCGCATCAGCACAAGTGAAAAATAAAATTACTGTGAACGGATTGTTACATAAATCAATTAAACGTATTCTTGGGTATATATAAAGTGCTGGGGGCAAGTCTGAATTTTGTTTCATAAGAAAATATTTCACGAGAAATTCAACTTACCCACATACAAGGAGTCATTTTCCACTCTTCATCGCAATTTATACAAAATAGGATAAATTACATATGATCCCCCAGCAAAATTCAGTTAGAGGACATATTTCTCTAGTAGATTCACACGGAATATCTTCAATTAATCCTTATTATTCACTTGTGCCAGTCTAATATATATAAGATTTATAGATTCTAACTCTGTCTACAGACACGTTAGGGGGGCATTTCACATTCTTTTTTTTCAATTGTTTGAATACGTACATGTTAGACAAGAAAAAGTAATAACGATATTATACTGCAAATATTCACCATCATTACAGCCTGAAAGCAACAATCCAGACACATGAATTAAACATCAACGTAAAAAAAAATCTACATGTGATGTGAGAGGAATGTAAAAGTTATGACACTTTCCCCGTCATATCAGCTCAAGTATGCAGTGACTTGACGTCATATGCCATTATGACGTCATATCTAGGTAGTTCAGAGAAGTTACTACGGCTGGCACACTGTGAAATTCTTCGGACAGCCTTATCCTAGCCGCGAAGTGGGGGACAAACCGGACAATGAAAAATTAAGTCACTGAAATCTTTATTTCAAGGTTGACATGATTTTCTCTCTTCAACACTCACTCTGTTTAATATTATGATATTCATATATTATATTTGATGGGTGTAACAGGTGCCATGGTGGGCACTTCACTTATTGGTGCAAATGTCAACTTCTTACAAGACTTATGTTTTTTAAGACTTCAAAAACTTTGAATCATATGAGATGCATGAAATGAAAATTGTCAGATGAAAAGATTCTAATTTCAAACTTCATTTACAATTTTATTCAATTGAATTATAATATTTTGAGTTACTGTTCCTGGCTGATGAGCAGATATCCTTAATATTTATTATTATATAACATTAAAATTGGTAAGGTCATGCAGACAATATTTTAATATTCTAGCTAATTCAAGTCTCTTGCTATTCTATCTTGCTTTGCTGAGGCTGTTTCATCAATGGCAAAGGAATTTAAGTCCTCAGTTCATGCAAGAAACAACTGTTGAATCTGCAATGTCACAAATACCCGAGATTGAATCTCACACTTTACCAGTGACAGAAAAATTTAAGAGCAACAAGTATTTTATTTTTTAACCCTTCTCTCTCTCTCTCTCCATAATGTTGATCATTGATTCCATGTCTTGCTGACAAAAATTCAACAGTCAACTGATTTAAAGCAATTTTTAGGTGTCGGTGTCTACATAGTTGTCAACAACAGTATAGTAATGCAGTTCTGCACCCTAACATGATGAGGTCTGTACCTATACTGTACATATATACATAAATTGATGTGTTCAAAATTTAGCGCAATCACTGGGTATTGAATGGTTGGCTGATCATGAATTAGCATTACACACGACCACACCATGAATTGTACAATGTATTCATTTCTGTATTATTAATGGTATTCATGAATTATAGTGCATTGTTGTCCATACTAAAGCCACTAAAATATGAAGCCTGCTTTTATAAGTACACATACAGTATATGAATGAAAGAAAAGTACATGCATTATTAAATATAAATATGATGACACAAATATATCCTCTTTATAAAGAAATTTCCTTCAATTTTTTGCCCCCAGGACTTGAACCTGGACCTCCTCAGTGCAGAATACAATTTAGATTTTTTTCTGCATATTTCAATATTAAACTTGGATTCCCTATTGTGGCCCCGCCCTACCCCCGGAGGGCATGATTTGAACAATTTAGAATCTACACTACCCCAGGATGCTTCCACATAAGTTTCAGCTTTTCTGGCCCTGTGGTTCTTGAGAAGAAGATTTTTAAACATTTTTTCTTCATATTTCAATGTAAAACTTGGATTCCCTATTGTGTCCCTGCCCTACCCCTGGGGGTCATGATTTGAAAATTTAGAATCTACACTACCCCAGGATGCTTCTACATAAGTTTCAGCCTTTCTGGCCAAGTGGTTCTTGAGAAGATTTTTTAATGACCCCACCCAATTTTTGTCTTTTCTTGGTTATCTCCCCTTTGGAAGGGAACTAGCCCTTCATTTTAGCACTCCTCTTTACCCAAGAATGCTTTGTACCAAGTTTGGTTAAAATTGGCCCAGTGGTTCTTGAGAAGAAGTTGAAAATGTGAAAAGTTTACAGATGGACGGACAGATGACAGACACGGGTGATCAGAAAAGCTCACTTGAGCTTTCAGCTCAGATGAGCTAAAAAGGGATTCTGTCCTGTAACCAATATTATATCAATAATAAACTGGCTCTTTAATTACCTTGTATGTCTATCAAAGGTCAACAAGTAGAAATACGTTCTATTTCCATAAGTGAACTCTTCAAAATTAGAGGCGCGTTTGGTTGTCTGACAGGGACAGCATGGCGTTGCGGATAATACAAAACATGCCAATCTCAATCCAATTTTTAATGTTAAATGTATTTGTCATTCCAATTAAAGAATAGAAGAACTAAAAGACATACGTAAGAGAGCGAGAACCCTAAATTTATCATCCATTAATAAACAAGAAGTCTGTGAGCCAATGCTCACTAATAATACCTCCGCTCTGATGTGGATAAACAAGTTCAGTTACGGAGAAACACAGGGATAATCAAGAAATTGACATCGGATTTGTAAAAAATGAATCCCATTGTATGGCATGCCTAAATAAATATTGTGCTAAAATTTCAAGCATCTGCAATGAGTAGTTGCTGAGAAAACTACGACCCAAATTTGTTATGTATGGTACGGACAGACACATGAATAAACAGGAAGTTGACATCGGATTTGTACAAAAATGATGAATCCCAATGTATGACATGCCTAAACAAAGAGTGTGTTAAAATTTCAAGCACCTGGGATGAGTAGTTGCTGAGAAAACTATGAATAAAATGTTTGTTATGTATGGTACCGACTGACACATGGTTAAACAGGAAGTTGACATCGGATTAGTACAAAAATTAATCCCACCATATGGCATGCCTAAACAAAGACTGTGCTAAAATATCAAGCATCTGCGAAGAGTAGTTGCTGAGAAAACTACGACCAAAATTTGTTATTTATGGTACAGACAGACGCACGGATAAACAGGAAGTTGACATCGAATTCATTCAAAAATGAATCCCACCATATGACATGCCTAAACAAAGAGTGTGTTAAAATTTCAAGCATCTGCGATGAGTAGTTGCTGAGAAAACTGCCACCAAAATTTGTTATGTATGGTACGGACAGACGCATGGATAAACAGGAAGTTGACATCAGATTAATACAAAAATTGATCCAACCATATGGCATGCCTAAACAAAGATTGTGCTAAAATTTCAAGCATCTGCGATGAGTAGTTGCTGAGAAAACTAGGACCAAAATTTGTTATGTATGGTACGGACAGACACACGGATAAACAGGAAGTTGACATCGAATTCATACAAAAATGAATCCCACCATATGGCATGCCTAAACAAAGATTGTGCTAAAATTTCAAGCATCTGCAATGAGTAGCTGCTGAGAAAACTGCGACCAAAATTTGTTACGGACAGAGAGACACACACACAGACGGACAGACAGACACACAAGGGTAAAACAGTATACCCCCCCCCTCCTTCGGAGCGGGGCTTTAAAAATACGACATTTCCGAGGCATGTGTATTGTATAATAAATATATAAATAGGTACATACGATCAACAATAGATATAAATTGATATCGTTGTCATTCCTACTCTTGATGTATATAAAGTCCACAACAATAAATTATTTCATTTGCATTTTCTTAAGATTTGTTCATCGACATTCAACATATTGTTTACATGTTTATGTTACGTTTGTCCCTGAAATCCCGCAAGATTTGTACATTTTCCGACTTTTTCACAAAAGAGCGCACTAAGAAGTATAACTCTTCCATATTAGAAATAGAACGTATTCAAGAATATGGCATATAAACATCAAACATATAAGATATACAAAATAGGTGTTTGTATAAAGGCTTCTGGACGGAGACTGAAGCGTCAGGGGATAATGCGGGGCATCAGGACATATGCCCAGTATGTGGGTAGATCAGGGTCAGAGGTCATAACAGTAAGGAGAATGTGACATATGTAAATAAGGCATTTTCACTACAATTTACTGTGACAATCACATTTAACTTCTTTTAAAAAATAAAATTAGTTCTTTAGCTTTTTATCAATTCTAAGTGAAAAACTGTCTACATTATGAATTAAATTGTTGCAGCATTATTAGTTACACGGTCTGTTGGGGACCTAATACATAGTCATACAGGGTTTGAAATGGAAATCCCTATCTAGCAAGGCTAAAACCCACGGGGTTATCTCTCTTTTATCAGAAATTTAAGATGTGACCAATGGGTATATGGAATAAAACCCAGGGTAAATCCCCAAACACTCTTGATAAAACCCAGGGCAAATCCCCATACACCTTTGATAAAACTCAGGGCAAATCCCCATACACCTTTGATAAAACCCAGGGTAAATCCCCATACACTTTTGATAAAACCCAGGGTAAATGCCCATACACCCTTGATAAATCCCAGGGTAAATGCCCAAACACCCTTGATAAAACCCAGGGTAAATCCTCGTACACCCTTGATAAAACCCAGGGTAAATCCCTGCCCATCCTTGATAAAACCCAAGGTAAATCCCCATACAACCTTGATAAAACCCAGGTAAATCCCTGTACACCCTTAATAAAACTCAGGGTAAATCACCCTTGATTGAATGTGGATAACAATTTTATTTCCTGTGTACCCAAATAAATTCCTTTTACATACAAGTCCAATCAACTGTGTTTCAAGCTATCGATGAGATTTACTATGTGGTACAATGCATCATGACGTCATGTTATTTTCATTTTTTCTTAGAGAAACTCTGCATTCTAACATCATGTTATTTACCCCCCACCCCCCCCCACCCCCCCAGCTCAAGTTGGGTGTTCCGAAATTTCAACCAGTTTGCTAACCATTCAAATCTTGTGTTACAAGCTAGACCAATCAAATCTTGTGTTACAAGCTAGACCAATCAAATCTTGTGTAAAAACTAGACAGGAAATCAGATTTTTTACCTGTGGTGAAAGGATCTGAGTAAGCAGTGTCAGCGAATCCCCTCGCTGTGTAAGCCGGAGTCTAATGTAGTACTTAGTATTCTGTATGAGTGGACCATTACAGTACAGCACATTATTAAAATCTGCCTCCACACCAATCTCAAACACTCTAAAATTCTTCTCCCTCACGCTCGGCTTGGACCGAGTTTGACTGAAGGAAGATGTTAGCTGGAAGAAGTCTGCCTGGTTGACCTTGATCTTGGAGTTGATCTAGGCAGATTTCCAGTCGGGCAGGGTGCTGGTTTTGATGTGCTCCTCATCAGGGTCTGTGGCTATAATTACTGTATAGGCCTGTAGGCTGCTCTTATTTATCAGAGAAGGCATTTATAAAGTTGGCTGTAATGGTCAGGAGAGGGTCACAGTTTTATACCTCCCAAGATCAGCTGCTTTGGTTTTGTTTGACTCAAGATCAGACTGTCTTTGATTTGTGGATCTAAAAATTTTGTAACAAATAAGCACTTATTTCTTTCCTGCTAGGTAACAATGTCAAGGATCAATTACAAATCATAGATTAAAATAAGGTACAGACAGTGTGCAAGTGTAACTGTGTATCTGTGAATTTGATGTTTATTTACTCATAATTCTATGCAAAATTAAAAACAACAAAGTAAGTGTATATGTATGATTTAAAAAATAAATTTCAGAGAGTTGAAGTAAAATGGTTTTTTAGCTCACCTGAGCCGAAGGCTCAAGTGAGCTTTTCTGATCACATTTTGTCCGTCGTCCGTCCGTCCGTCTGTCTGTCTGTACCGTCCGTCTGTAAACTTTTCACATTTTTGACTTCTTCCCAAGATCCACTGGACCAATTTTGACCAAACTTGGTACAAAGCATCCTTGGGTGAAGGGGAGTTTAAATTGTTAAAATGAAGGGCCAAGTCCCCTTCAAAGGGGAGATAATTAAGAAAATACAAAAATTGGGTGGGATCATTAAAAAATCTTCTTCTCAAGAACCACTGGGCCAGGAAAGCTGAAACTTATCTGGAAGCATCCTAAGGTAGTGTAGATTCTAAATTGTTCAAATCAGGACCCCCGGCGGTAGGGCGGGGCCACAATAGGGAATCCAAGTTTTACATTGAAATATATAGGAAAATTCTTTAAAAATCTTCTCCTTAAGAACCACTGGGCCAGAAAAGCTGAAACTTATGTGGAAGCATGCTGGGGTAGTGTAGATTCTAAATTGTTAAAATCATGACCCCCCGGGATAGGGCGGGGCCACAATAGGGAATCCAAGTTTTACATTGAAATATATTGGAAAAATCTTTAAAAATCTTCTTCTCAAGAACCACTAGGCCAGAAAAGCTGAAACTTATGTGGAAGCATGCTGGGGTAGTGTAGATTCTAAATTGTTCAAATCATGACCCCCGGGGATAGGGCGGGGCCACAATAGGGAATCCAAGTTTTATATTGAAATATATAGGAAAAATCTTTAAAAATCTTTTTCTCAAGAACCACTGGGCCAGATAAGCTGAAACCTATGTGGAAGCATGCTGGGGTAGTGTAGATTCTAAATTGTTCAAATCATGACCCCCAGTGGTAGGGCGGGGCCACAATAGGGAATTCAAGTTTTACATTGAAATAGATAGGAAAAATCTTTAAAAATCTTCTTCTCAAGAACTACTGGGCCAGAAAAGCTGAAACTTATCTGGAAGCATCCTAAGGTAGTGTAGATTCTAAATTGTTCAAATCATGACCCCCAGGGGTAGGGCGGGGCCACAATAGGGAATCCAAGGTTCACATTGAAATATATAGGAAAAATCTTTAAAAATCTTCTTCTCAAGAACCACTGGGCCAGAAAAGCTGAAACTTATGTGGAAGCATGCTGGGGTAGTGTAGATTCAATATTATTCAAATCATGACCCCTGGGGATAGGGCGGGGCCACAATAGGGAATCCAAGTTTTACATTGAAATAGATAGGAAAAATCTTTAAAAATCTTCTTCTCAAGAACCACTGGGCCAGGAAAGCTGAAACGTATCTGGAAGCATGCTGGGGTAGTGTAGATTCTAAATTGTCCAAATCATGACCCCCGGGGGTAGGGCGGGGCCACAATAGGGAATCCAAGTTTTACATTGAAATAAATAGGAAAAATCTTTAAAAATCTTCTTCTCAAGAACCACTGGGCCAGGAAAGCTGAAACGTATCTGGAAGCATGCTGGGGTAGTGTAGATTCTAAATTATTCAAATCATGACCCCTGGGGATAGGGCGGGGTCACAATAAGTACTACCCAGGGAGGGGGGGAGAAATCAGGTGAAAAACAGCAAGGCCAAAGTTACTCAGGTGAGCGCTGTGGCCCATGGGCCTCTTGTTATTTTAGCTCAGCCCTAAAATTCAAACCACAGAACTTACTTTGAATGCGTAATTGAGGTCTGTGAATTTCTCCCTGATGAGCTGTCACACGGCCATAAGTTATGTGCGGAGGGTCACTCCAATGTCCTTCTTGCCTTGGTCCATAGTGTGCTCCTAAAACAATCATTTTGGACAATAGTAAACTAATACTACGAAATATACAAGGATTTGAGATATCGAGGGTAAAATACTAAAAGAATAAGTGTTTGGGACTTCCAAATCACTTCAACATATCTATGGTATTCGAGATATCAGTATTCGAGATAGTAAAGTTCAACTGTACTAATTAAATTCCATTACCAGTACTTCTCATGCTCAATATAACAGACAGTGCAGAAGACTTTCTGGTATATATCTATTTAACAGTAAGAGGACTAGACTGGTCCCCACTGACAGCAGACAACTTGATACTATACTGGGTCCCACCTCTACTGTGGTCCTTAGAACTCCACACTGCGATCTGTGTCAATTAAATTTTTTTCTTATCGATCTGGCTACCAGCTCAAAGAGGTAATACTCAAAGTACAGTTGTCAGTGTTAGCGTATAAGACAGTGATGTTTTTTTTTCCAGCATTTTCTATTGAAAAATGCCTATTTTAGATTCTGAAATAATTGTGGTGCAATATTTTAAGTACAAGATATAATTCTATTAATTAATGCTTCAAGGAACTTGATTTTCTGCAAAGGCAAATTATGCCAATTCACATACCGGGGTATAAATGACTTTCAAATTATTTAGATTTTTTATAGGATAAATTGAATGAAATGTAAGAAATGCCATTTTTTTTACAATAATGTACTTGGACAGATCTGACATTCACAATGCATTTACAGACTGGGAGACAGAGTTTTGCACAATACTGTAAATAGAGATGTTATAAGTGTGTTCTACAGAAATAAATCCAGTAATATTGTATCTGACAGACCTATGGTCTGATGAGTTGGACTGGTATTAACTGTATTTGGTGTGTAGTATGAAATATGAAGACATTTAGAAACAGTAATCCAGTGAAAAAATCCATTGAAACAATACAAGTTTGGAAAAGAGCAAAGATGGAACTCTAAAAACATCAGAGGTGGGATCAGGTACCATGGAGGAGTAAGCATCCCCTTTAGGTGAGATTTCAGCTATCTACATGGGTTTTATTACTGTTGTACACTCACTTGAGAGAACTGCTATTATTGGAGACAGATGTAACCTCTACACTGCTAGGAGGCAGGGGAACTAAAAACATGAATCTTATTTGTTAATTCTTTTTTTTTTTTTTTTGATTTTTCTATTTATTTGTGACTTAGCAGCAAACTACTTTACATTCAACATTTTATGTAAAGATAATCAACGATATGAGTTGCATGAGAAATCTAGTCTGTGGTCTGCAGACTGACTGAAATTTTATAAATTACATGTACATGTACATTTCAAACAGCAGTGTATTTTGTTGTTTAATGTACCTCTGATTTTTACTTTACAAGTGTACTTACACATTAGTGCAGAAACAACTGACGGCAGACTCATCTCACAATGGCTGACAGCAAACAGCAGAACCGTTTTATACAAGAGTCCAGGGAACAGGGAGAGAATGATTTGTGTACTGTCACCATGGAGATGGGCATGATACCAGACAAAGTAACTATCCTGTATGCTGCCATTGCCTGGCAACCATGTAGGGTCAGATGTCATTATGGGGTGGCAATATGTCCTACGTCAAATCCATAGCCTTGTTGGGTTCTACAACACCAAACATCACAGATTAAAATGCCTTATTCACACAAATGCAAATAAATATTTAATTTGTAGTAAATTAAAGTAAAATAATGGGAATTAAACTTGTGGGATAAAATACACAAGTTTTGAGATTGTAACTCTCCAACAATAGAGGAGCAAAAAGTATCCATATCAGCAAGGAAGTGAGAGAGGTTGTTTACACAAATAAATGAACGATGGCTAGGGCTTTAAAATTTCATTTAATGTGATAGAAATATAATAATGTCAATCAATGATAATTTTAATGATTTTATTGAACTTTACATACATAATTTACAAAATCTACTTTCAAATTAGTTAGGACACTGAAAGCCAGAAGAATCATAATAATCTTTGTGAAATAGATGCTTCCCTAAATGTAGGAGGACTCTTTGAGATTAATATGCTGACGGTGCGACCGTTGGGGCGAGCGCATTGTTCACTTCATTTTAAGATCCGCCTCTTCAAACCCCACAAGACATTTGGAACGTCTAGACTGTGACGTCACATGACGTCGTATGTTAGCTGCATTTCCATAAACAAAGTTTAAAAGTGCACAGATTTTAACCAAGAACGTTTAATCTACTATCTGTATGCAATATCCATTAAATTAAATTGAGTTTATTTTTTGTGAATTTTTAGTTGTTGTTACCGCCTAAACGAAGTTAGCAGCGAGAACATCAAGCGATGCATTGTGGGTCCAGAATTACTGTGGAAAAAATTCTATTGAATGAATGTGCAGTAGTCCGAATTTTCTCTTCACCCAGGCATTGTCAATAGAGCTCGCAGTGACGAGCGGCGCAAAGCGCCGCTCGCTGCGCTTGCTATTATTAGGGAAAGAGCTGGTGTGTCATTCAGAAAGCCAATGTGCAATGATCAGATGGGAGTTTGTTTATTAGAGATCCATATGTCTTCCAACATCTGATAAGTCTTTTCCACTGATCTTTTCTTTTGTAAATATTTTTAGTAGAAAAAAAA